AGACTGCTCTGATCACTAGTGCTTCCCTCATTTCCCACTTCCTCTTTTCAACTGCCCTCTTCAGCCCGTTGGTATAAAAAGATAGATAGATAGATAAATAGATGAATAGATAGATAGTCCTCTTAAAGTCCTCTCTTAAAAAACATACATTTTCCATATAAGCCATGTTTATGGGCTTAATGAATTAAAAATTGTCTCTTTGTACCATCCATTTCATACCAGAGCTTTATCCAAGACTCACTGCAAGAAGACACTAACATTGCCGGTGTTGTCAAGGCAACAGGCCCATGTCATATGAGGAAAATGTAGCTCTGCCTCAGCCTCAAATTATAACGCTGCAGTTTGAAATTGCCCGGATCGTGTGTGTATTCTTTTTGGCATTGAGCAGCTATGATGTAAGATGCTCCAGATCATGTTTTAAAAATGAAGATACAGAATTATGCGCCGGATCTACTTGCATCAATGTATTTTCTCAGCTCATGTATCTTATCCATGGTCTACTCTGTTTATCCGATCACTGTAATGATGTCTCCAGAATGAATTAATTACAAAAGTGCTCCTCAATGATCATTTCAGAATTACATAAAGATAATATATGAATCCGAAGAATAAAACTGTGTCGACTTCAGCCATCATCATTCTGAGAAATGCACAACACACAGAAAATATTCATACTCTGCTGTGACTTTTTCCCTTTGAGGCATACGTGTTTTTTTCTTTGTGTGGCTGAAACGCTGTCAGAGCGAGGACCTCTGTGGCAGCGCCATCACAGTATCTTTCCAGAGGATGTATAGCTTTTTAAGTTGATGACTGTGCTGTTCTAATTCGAGGACTCGTAAAATGGCTCCGTTATCTCTGTAGTTTTATGGATCTAGTAACCATTCTTGGCTTGTTGATCTGTTACTTTATTATGAAAACGTAACCTCGGAATAATGAAAGCACCTTGCAGTGTTTAGGACCTTCTTAGCTTCCTTTCGCCAATTATTCAGCTGTAAGATATTTGAAAAATAGATGAGAGAGTGGATTCAGCTTGTAAATCGTGAAATCAGGACATCGTGGCATGGCAGTTTCTTTTCATCCTTTGAGATGCAATTACAGGATATATCCAGTAGAGCGAGCTAGTCTCCAACAGCTCAGCACTAGTAACACCTCTCCCAATAAATGCATCTGGGTTCCGGGGCTTCCTAAACATCTTGTGTGTGGGCTTGATGGACATGGGCTAAGAGTTAAGATTAGAATGGTGTCCATGTCAGAAACAGATTGCATAGATCAGCCAGTTTCTCTGAATGTTGATATACTCTTTTCATGGAAGAAGTTTCAAGTTTTTGATTAAATTCTGGTTCATTTGCACATCCTGAAATACATCGGAACCCTTTCCTTCTACCTTCAGAGCTGTACTTGCTATAGATGCACAGCTGACTTTTGGTGCATTTTATGGAACATTGTGGAGGTGTTCAGATGTGTTCTTTCTTTCATTCATTTGCCACTTCCTGTTGCTCGCAGATTCCGCTGACCCCGGCGCACAAAAGAAGCGCGAACAGCCTTGATTAACTGCAGCAAACAATGAGATGAATGAAAGCTAATCCAAAAGATGACTTCATCCAGCCAAGAGAATTTTCACAACTATGTCATGTCAATCTTGAATCTGTGATGAGATCCGCGGAAAAAAAAACACACACTCCCACTCACTGGCAGCTTTCACCGTGGCCTGGTCAAATTGAGTATTGTTGTCGGCCTTGATAATATTCAGTAAGCAGATGATACTCTTTGCAGCTGTTGGCTCTTTTTAATCTCATTCCTGACCTCTGATAAGTGGTAAGAGCTCCAGGGACCTTGTCGTGGCACAGTATCTACCCTCTCATTTTAACGTGACAACTGAGATGCCAAGAAAAAGTGTTCGTACATTGAACAAGCACCCACTTGAATTTTTTTTCCGTCAAATCGTCATCGTTTGAGCCATGGAGAATTTGTGTCCTTTTTTTAAAAATCCCTTTTGGTGAAAATGACATATTAAGTCAAAACACATGTAACAGGATTGACTAACAAGGTTGACTTAACAGAGGCAATGTTGAGTCAGTGACTAAACTCCTTTAATCTGATTTTCTCACAGTATGCTTTTAATGAAAATAATTCAAGCCACAATAGGGAGAATGTTAAAGAGCTGCATAGACATCTTTGGCTACACAACAGGGATAGAGGTAGAAACTTTTACTGTTTGCTAAATAAGCTGCAAAACAATGCAATTAATTATTTATTCCCCTTTAAATTATATCATATGGAAACCCATTATAATGGTAATTATAGGAACATACTTTTTTAACCTATTCACAACAGATGATTACTTATTTCATTTAAAAATTAAACATTTTAATGCCTAGATTTTCATACTGATACTACATGTTCTTACCATAGATGGAAGTAGCAGAGAACAGGGATGACACAAACTTTGATATGTGACGAAGTTGAAGAGCATTCCGTTTTTACAAAAAGCATGAAGGCCGTAATCGTAAAGAAAGAATTTCAAGGATTATCTGAGAAAGAATTCATGTGATGTCACATAAATATGTGGTGTTAGATCTAACAAGGTAAGAGGCAGTGTAAACGTGCAGTTCTTCATCAGTTGTGCTTTGATGTAGTACAACTATGGTTGATATACACGTTGAAGTCCAGTGTGCATCCATTCATCCATTCATAACCAACCACGTAACCTTAAAAGCCCAAATGTCCCTCTTCCTTTTTTCTGGAGGCATCCTGCAAGATTTCCAGTGGGATCCAATCTGATTCCACTCTTGTATGCTCTTAGTCTTCCCCATATCTGCTTCCAGTTGAACCAAAAGATTTCAAGAGATATGTTCCCCTGGGGCCAAACCCATCAGTCACCGGCTCCATTCAATGTAAAGAAGCATCCATTGACTGAGTGGTTTGTGTTTGTGTCTTTGCTCTTATGAGCCTGTCGTCTTCCGCAAAGGGCTTGTTTGTGTTGTTGTTGTTTTTTTCCTGTTCCATTTTCTTCGGACACTGCACAGGAGTCCCGTCCACATACAGGAAAACAGGGAATCAAAAGTTGCCCATGGTGACACTTACCCACTTTGATGGTGTGTAATGAGAAGCAAAAGTTGTCAACGTTTAGGTTGGCAGAAATGTGGTACATAAACCATTTTCATTGCATCTCCTTAAAGCCAGATTTAGTCTAACTGCATACTACCACTTCAAGAAAAACAGAGAAAGTGTTAAAGGGACAGACATTTACCATTGGGGCCGGTGGAGAACAAAACAGAACTCAGGTGAGATTAATTATTGGAGCCAGATTCTTCAAGGAATTAATTGCTAAAATGACTGATCGACTGATTGCCCTGTTTTTTGGTTTTTTGTTTTGTTACGGCTTGTTTTTGCTGCCCCTATGCGGCCAATTCTATATGCGTTCAAAGTGAAACACAACTGGAGTTGAATATTTCAGCGAAAGGGACATTTATATCATGTTAAGGGAGTCTTTTACAGCGTAAAATGATGCTTGATCCTTGGAGCTTGGGGATTCAACTCACAGGAGCCTGGCCCCCAAAATAAAGTTGAGACAGGGGGGGAAATGTGACGTCAGCTTGGTGCACATCATCATCATCAAAAAGCAATCAAGGCAAAGTGTGTCTTTGGAATCCAGATTTAAAAAAAACAAACATTTTCTGCTCTGGTGACAGCAGCAGCGTCGTGCCTCGTCGTCATGAACACTAGTTGGGAGATTGAAATATTACAAGTGTGCGTCCTAAAAGCGAGGGAGTCACGGAGACCGCACTGAGAGAGAGAGAGAGAGAGAGAGAGAGAGAGAGAGAGAGAGAGAGAGAGAGAGAGAGAGAGAGAGAGAGAGAGAGAGAGAGAGAGAGAGAG